CACATCCCTCCCCAGGTGTGATGGCAATTCAGCCTTGTGAAATAATTTTTCCTTTATCACTTTTCTCCCTTGCAAATGTGGCAGCAGCACCTCTCCCTGCCGGGCAGCCCTGGCCCTGCTCCCCGCGCTGCCGCCGCGGCCGCAAAATGCATCCTCCAGTCAGCGGGGCCTTTGGGGGGCTTGGGTACCTTTGCGTGGGAAAAGATGTGGGTTTCTCCCTTCTGAAGCTGTGCAGCAGGGTGTGGCTGCAAGTTTGGGCAGTTTTGGAACCCAGCGTTCACTTTTCCTGTGGGGATCAAGGCTCAAAGTGCTGCAAACAGCAGCAGAAGAGAATGAGCTGAGGGCAGGTGAGCGAGACAAGGTGTGACAGCACTGACACCAGGACACACAGCCCTGTCCTGAGGAGACTGAGGGCAGGAATGAGACTCGTGTGGCTTTTTTGGTTTTTTTTTAAGTTTTCACAAACTTTAATTCTTGACTAACAGGGAAAATGACTGATTCCATATTTTCGCTCTGTAATTCTTCAGCTTCTAGACTGTCGATAATAACTGGAGGACAGAAGATTCAGTGTTCAGATTGCTTTTGTTTGTCCTGTTAGATTGTCTTCACAGTAAGAGAACATTTTGAACTCAATGAGAACATTTACTGCCATTGAAAATGTAGTGCAATAATGGATTAGTATTCCCAATATAATTTCATTTTCTTCTTCACTTCACACTCCTCATTAGCTGCCATTGAAAATGTAGTGCAATAATGGATTCTTCTTCACTTCACACTCCTCATTAAGGTTTGGAGAAGACTTTTTTTTCCATACCCAATTAAAAGACCAGTTGTGCCACTTACATGAAAAAGAAATTGAAAGCATTTTTACTGCAAAACCTGGGATATCTTTTTGAAAATGCACATAGCAAATTCCAAGAGACTCTCTGGTGTAACACACTGCCTTCTGTAACACTCAGTGAAGAAAGACATTGGGACTGAATATATAAAATATGTCTCACCTGTGGTTTCAGGGTAGAAGAGCTGGCCGAGATAAGGTGCGTCCAAAGCAGAGGAAGTAAGATGATGTGCATGTCTTGTTTTCTTTCAGATTAACTCTTCTGCTATCTATGCAGACTAATTTATCTTTAACAAACTCTTTTCCTGGTTGGTTTGCTGCAACCTGGCTTTGATGTAACAAGATTGTGTTTTTATCGAAGATATTAAGCAAAGCAGTCTGAGTGTAAGTTGAAAATGAATCCAGTGCCTGGAAAGCCATCTTCAACTTCACCAAGTTTTAATATCCATAAAAAAGAAACCAGAAATTGTTCTCCTTAAACACAGTTTAGCTGTGTGAGAGAGCCCTGGGTCTCTTCATTCCCAGGAGCTCTAGAAATTACTTCTTTCCAGTTTCTGTCCTATTTTTAGTGCTTAAGTTGGCCTTAACAGAGCATAAGCCTCAAACAGATTCTCTTCCCTCCTAATAAACAGTAAAGCTGTTCCTCATGGGCAGTCCTGGATGCAGAGGCAACGGTGAAAGTCACGGTGTGTGCTTTTACATTTCATTTATGCAAATTAAAATGCATCAGTAATGTTTTCGCTAGTATATTTATTTTTATTGTGCTTCTCTCCTTTATTGTATTTTAAGAGTAGTTCTGTTTGCAGTTCCCTGCCTGAAATATAGAAATTGTTCTTCATGTGAAAAAACAGTGTCCCACGTGTTGAGGTGTTGCTGGCAATAAGACACAACATTCATTCCATTTGTAGATTTTCTGTAGTTTATTGTAAAGTAATTCTGGTACTTGAAGACATTTTCCTAATCCTTCAGTCATAACTAGAAATTAGGAGTTGAGTTTCTGAAACAATTTCATCTTACCCCATATTCTGGGTTAATAAAAGCACAAGGTTAAAAGCTCCTTAAATCCATCAACGTCAGTTATTAGTGATGAGCTGTGATGTTTCTGCTGAGTTTGGAAATTTCCATAAGAGGTGTTTTGATTTAGGTTTGTACTTCAGGATGAATTGAATAACATGGAACGTACACAGCAGCTAATTCTGGAAGACAGGTAATAAGTACTAGGTCTCTCAGGGTTCATTTCATAAAGATGTCTTACTGTCCCATCAGAAACTTGGTGGCACAGGTAGCATCTCTAATGGGCTGACCATGTTTATCTGATTTGGTTTCTTGCCTGTAGTCTAATTTTGTTCCAGTAGATCTGGAGATATTTATTTTTAATAGTATTAAAAAAAAGACAAAGTGATATGCCTGAGGCTCAGTCATAACTGAAACATGGTGCAGTAGTGTTTTGGGAAGCTCTTAATGCATCATTGTGAAATGTTTTAGTTTGGATTATTATTCTTTCCTTTTCTTTGCCTCCCAGCACGTTTGTCAGCATTGGGATTCCCACTGTATTTTCACTGGGACCTTAACCCAAAAAGCAGTAGAAGGATTTCAGGTGCTAAGTGGGAAAAACCTGGGTTTGGCTCATGAGCCAATGGCCAGTGGGCCAAAGAGAAGGGAAATATGGACCTTTGATAAGCCCATGAGGATTCAATAAGCTCATTAGGCTGTTCCACAGGGGCCTGTGTGCTCACCTGGCATCAGGCTGGTTGTGCACAGGGCACTGGTGGCCAAGCACAGCCTGAGGAGCTCCTGCCTGCATGACCGAGCTGGAGGCACCTGATGTTCTCCTGAAAAATCTATCATCTGAAGAAAGAAACTATCAAATTGAGAATAACATCCAATTGAAAAAAGATAAAAAATGGAGGTGGAGGAGCATGTCTCTAGCTGCTGGGATGGAAGCACTTTCTTGTGAGGGTGCACAGAGGCCTTGACTTGGTTCCCTAAAGTTCTCTTATGATGCTGCCTTCAGCTCCTGACAGTTCTCTCCTACATGGGATTGGGTGGTGCTTCCAGCTGTGGGAGCTAGCAGAGGGCACAGGAGCCTGCTGAAGAACCTGTGTCACTCCTTTTCTTCTGGAAAAATTCCTGCTCACCCCCTGAGCCTGGGATTGCAGCCCTGCAGAAGACACTGCATGGCAGGTTTGTCCCCAGAGAAACAAACTGCCTTGGAACAAAACTTGATTTGTTGTTTCCAGTGATAGATTTTTCAAACAGCTACCAACAGCCTCCCCACTGGGGTTAACATCTGAGACATAAAGCCCATCCTGTTTCCATTCAGTGCCTGATTTGGATCTGCCTTACTTGGTGAAAAGGTGGATATTGAAGTTGCTTCTTGTCTCAGAAGAACAGGATCTTTTATCTGAGATCACATACATGAGAGAATCACAAAGACAAGGCCAGCAAAGCTGCTCCTTTAAACCAGATCTTCATCTGTACAAATAAAGGCTCTTAGGATTTCTCTTTTTCACTTGTTTTGCTTATGGCTCAGTCTTGTATTGTGGCCTTGAAAGGAGCTTTGTCCCAACAAAGGGCTCCATTCCAGACTCTGGCTTTGTCCCAGCAGCAGGATCTGCCAGGGCACCATCCCCTGCAGAATCAGGGGCTTATGCTGACACCCAGGACTGGCTCTTCCTGAACATCTTCTCAGCCCATGATCCTGACTGGCCTCTCCACGTGCTGCTTTCATACAAGCAAGTAATAATAGTGGGGAAAGACATTCTGGAGATTAAGCTGTATTTGCAATTAAATAGAGGAAGGATCAAAACTGCCTAAATCCATATCCCTGTGGCAGGGTGTAAGACTTTCTGCTTTTATTGAGTTACAGGAAGAGGCATCCAATCTGAATATGCTTTTCAAGTGAAGAGTGGTCATTTTATCAGGGGATTACTGCCCATTGCTGCCTGCAGTAGCAGATGGCTAGAGTCTGTGAATCCAGTCATCCCCTTTCAGTCTTCTGGTTTTAAACTTGTTTGGGGAGGAGAAAGTTTGTATCTTCCAGTTTCCAGTGAGGCTGCCAAAGGTATATGCTGGGCCAGGCTTTGAGGGTGATTTATTGTGTGAATTTGAATACAGTTTTATTTCTATAATTTTCTTTATCTGTAAAACAGTGATAATACACAAATACTATCCTTTTGCAATGCAGTGAGGAAAGTATTTACCCTTAAATGTCCCACACATGTTAATGGCACAAAGTGCATCAAGCTGATTAGAGGTTATTTGTCAGAGCAACACACTAGATAGATGGGGGAACTAAACCTTCTTGGATTTGCTTCCACTGGTATGTGGGATGATTTTGAGAGGAAGTATTATGTTGTAGCCTGCATTATCTTTTGGTGAGTCTTTTTTCTCTTCTATTAACTTGGAGATTTGAAATGCAACTTACTTGAGCAATGACATGGTGTCTCGGATGAAATACTGAGACTGTTGCAACCATCTGCAAACCAGACTGTCTTGCCAAGGCAAAGCCTTTGTCTGTGATATTTCCCTTCTTCCCTTTTCCAGATCAACACTTGATTGAAAATCAAAGTTGATTGCATTGCTGGTTTGAAAGTGGCCACATCCATCTGCCTTAATTCCCGTGTCTTGTGGTGTGTGTTTGGTTTTTTTAACATACGTTATTTTGCTTCATGCATGTCAAAGATTTCCTAACTCTTGCTATGCAGTGACCTTAAGGGTGACATTTTAAAAGAGAATGTATTGAAGAGACTTGATATCCTGAAATACTCTGTGGAGATTCTAGCATGATATTTTTGAAAAGCATTTTTTGTATTTTAAAATAAAAGCACTAGATAAACCTGCTTTGTCATGAAAATGAGTGGTATGTTTGCTTTTGATTTTTGCTTTGGTTTTGCTCTTCTAACCAGATAAGTATATCTGCTTTTATCTGGTTATAATTGGACACAGTTTTCCACTTTAATTCCCTCAATAATCTCAAAGGTATTGCTGGAATGAGTCTTCAAAATTGTGTCTGTGAAACTTTGCTATGCAGCCTTTCTCCTGGGAATGCCACTCAGATATGGCCACCTCCAACTCTAACCTTCACCCAGAGATCCATTCTGCCCAGGAAACAGGCTGCTCTTCTTACTGTCCTGTTTTTGTGTGTGTGTGTGTTCTTCAGAAAGCCAAACTTGGGCCAGCTGGTAACAAAGTCATTACTCCAACAGAAGACAGGACCTCAAGTGTGCCATCCAACAATCTGGACAGGGTGAAGCTGACAGATTTCAACTTTCTCATGGTTCTTGGAAAGGGGAGCTTTGGGAAGGTAGGAATTCTTGGGAGCTGTTCCACTCACATTCTTTTTTCTTCTTTTTTTTTTTTTTTTCTTTTTTTTTTTTTTTTCTTTTTTTTTTTTTTTTCTTTTTTTTTTTTTTTTCTTTTTTTTTTTTTTTTCTTTTTTTTTTTTTTTTCTTTTTTTTTTTTTTTTCTTTTTTTTTTTTTTTTTCTCTCTTTTTTTTTTCCCTTTTTTCATTGAGGAACAATGAATGAATAGTTCTCTAGGAAGCAAAATCCAGAGTCAGAAGGATGTGCATTTTTGAGGGAGGATTTTGTGACATGCAGTAGGGTGATTTCCTAGGAACTAGCAGATTTCAGTCACGACTGGCAACTTTTTGGACAAAACAAAAAGACAAAAACCCTCTCAGACTCTTGAGCAGGGTGTAAGAAGCAGTTGGTGACGTGTAGATCCTCCCTTCTTGGCAGTTTCAAGGAAATTAAGTCTGCTTTTCTAGCTTTACTACTGAAGTCACTCTGCCAGTTCTGGAAGTCACCACCACTGGTAAGGCTGAATATTGGGGAAAAAACCAGGAGTGGTAAATATAGACAGCCTTGAAATCTGTTAGCTGAAGGGAAGGGCTGCTATTTTTCTGGCTGTTTGAACAACCACTTCTGTGATGAAGTGCCCTTTACTGAAGAAGTCCCCTGGGACTTAACATTTTATCAGGCCTTTGGCAATGTGCCTGTGCTGAACCAAAGGGGATTGGCACAGGCTTTGTCTGAGATGATGGGTACAGCTCCTTGCTGTGGGTGAGTAATGGGGATATTTTTGGAGTTTTGATCAAGTTAGTCTATACCAATAAAAGGAGGAGCTGGGTTGCCATCTATACAAATCTTTGGGAACATGAGTCACCTTTCTCGCCTTGGCAGGGAGGAGGATTTTCACTCTGTGGGTTCTGTTTGTGCAGGTGATGCTGGCAGACAGGAAGGGGACAGAGGAGCTCTATGCAATCAAAATCCTGAAGAAAGACGTGGTGATCCAGGATGATGATGTTGAATGTACCATGGTGGAGAAACGAGTCCTGGCGTTGCAAGATAAACCACCATTCCTGACACAGCTTCACTCCTGTTTCCAAACAGTTGTAAGTGAGCTCTCTCTTTCTTGCCAGCCTGATGTTTTCCCCACTCTGTGATCATTTTATCAGCTCAATAACATTTGTTATCATCCAACCTATATATCATAGCTTCTGTGTATAGAAAACAGTGAAGAAAGAGATACCACATGTAATTACCACTTACATTTTAAATAGAAAACCTAGGTTTTAAGATTTTTCTTCATCAGTAATTCAAGCAGACCAGTGTGACAATTCATAAATGTAATAATGTGTGCTTTGCTAAGTCAGAGCCTTAAGCCCAGATTCCCAAAGGTTCCTAAATACTTTTAAGGATCTGAGGATAGTACTTGCAAAGTCTTAATGACCGTTGTTATATGATGAGTTGATTAGTCGTGAGTCAATGTTGGTGGATTTCATTTTGTTTTCTGACTCCCCTGACACAGAAGAAAGCTTTGAGTTTTCTTAATTCCTTCGTTATAAATACGTGAAGTGGACATTTATTTTACTGTTACACTCTTGATGCTTTTTAATCTAAAAACAAACCAACAAACAACAGGCAGTTTGAAATAAGAACATCCTAATATTCCACAAACAAGCCACGTCATCCCCTCACCAGCTCAATTGTCTGTGTTGTTACAGGCATTTTCAAACTCTCTTTAATGTCTACAAATTTCTGAGCAAAAAATGACCTGAATGCAACATAATTAATGACAATAAAACATGAGTCTGGGAACTTGGTAATTCCTGCTTTCTGAGGTATTTTCCTGCCTCTGCTTAAAATGTGAAGGTTGCGGTAATAAGATAAGAAAGGTCCTTGTGAGAAATACTCTTCTATCTCCCTCTAATTATTTCTATAATTTCATTAGTAGGCAAAAAGCTCCCTCCAAAGTACTTTACTGCCATCTTCCTCTAGCTGAAGTATGTACCTCTTTTTAATAATAATTCAAAAATATTTTTCATGCCTCCCATCTTCTGAAGGAAAACTTCTTGGGAAGGATTAAAAGGCCTCAAAGCAAGAATTTTCAACCATCTTTATTTTTTTTTTTACATATATTTTTAGACAGATTTTTCAGACAGGACTACCTGTAAATAATTCTGGCAACCATTGTAGACAAATAATATATAAAATAACATCACTAAAACTGGCAAATCTAGACATATCTCATCAGTCATTTACCCTTACAGGTTTTACATTCCATTTCCTTATTTACCCATTTTGCCAGAATGTACAACCACACCTAATAAATTTTAAAGCTTTAAAATTATGTATAAGTGAAATTTTTGCTCATCAATGCTTATCTAATATTTTCTCTCATGTATTTATGTGTGTCTTTCATACTTGATCCTAGGACCGTCTGTATTTTGTTATGGAATATGTGAATGGGGGCGACCTCATGTATCACATTCAGCAAGTAGGAAAATTTAAGGAGCCACAAGCAGTGTGAGTGTTCATGTTTATGTATTTCAATCATGTCATCATCTTCATTTTGCACTGTAAGAGAACTAGGTTTCTTCTTCTTCCCAGGTTCAGTATAAAGTCTGGGCTGGACTTTTTTTATTAGGCTTTCCAAGGCCCAAAAGCTGAAGTTTATGTTAAAGAGGTTGTTTGCACACACAGACCAAAGGTAGCTGTGCCTTTTTATTCAAAAATACAGCACAACCAAAGGCATGCAAAGCCTGCTCTAAGAGTGACAAGAATTTAAACAAGGCAACAGGAAATTAAAGCTGTTACTTGGTATTCTGGGGTTGTTCTTAAAAGCTAATATATTGAAAACAAAAAAAAAAGGGAGCAGAAGATTTCAGTCTGAATTCATGTTACAGGGAAAGGCAATACAAACAGTCTCAGCACTGCAAGGTAAATTATAGTTTATACAAGATAAATTCAGTGTATGGTTTGTAAGGTTTTCTGTGATCCTGTTTTTTGTAGAAGTTTTGTTTGTGAGGAGTTAATAAATGATTTGAAGTTGTTTCTATAGATGATCCCTTTTAGGTGACTCTACATCTGACACATCAATGAGCAACTGACACTGATCTGGAGCATATTCAATGTGAATAGATCCATCAGGACTGGTTTAGTCATGCTTACAACATCTCACTTATGTTTCATAAATAATTTACCAATGAAACTTAAAAATCAAGTGTGACCAACTGTTTTAAGAATTCAGCTAAAATAATTTCTCATTTCAATTTAAGTAATCAGGGCTTCTGTAAATGAAAGGCCTTCTAAAGATAAACATTCGAGATACAGGACAAACTTTCAGCAACTCGCTGAGTAGAAGCTACATGGTATCAGGTCATCCTTGACTCCCAGCCAACACCCATTGCCAACTGGTGTTTTGGGACAGCTCACACACATGGAGCACCTTCCAGCCCTTGTGTTCACAAACACCCCCATCCAGTGTCCCAGAGCCAAGCTTCCCTTTCCCTTGTGCTAGCCTAAAAATTAATCTTTCAATAATCCTCTTGCACATAATTTGCACAGTTCCTCAGCACCCATCAGTATTATATATCCTTTAACTGCATTCAGCAATTATGTTTTATATGGTAATCATTGTAATTAGCTTTCCATAATGAATCCATTAACAGCCTGGAGAAAGGAATAGCATTTCTGCAAATTATTTCATGCCATATGAGTTGCAGTGTAGATTGAGCTGCATCCTGAATTCAGCATTGATATGTGATTAGCGATAATGACCTTTGCAGAAGAGTCAGATCAGAGCAGTAAAGTGCTGTGCTCCAGCTGCACCATTGGTATTTTTTTTTGGTCTAGGAGACATTTTCATTATGTTCTTGAAATTCTGCATTATTGTATCAGCAAATACCCAAAATGCATCTGTTAAAGTTGAACTGAAGTCAGATGTCTTTTCTGTCCTTTGCCTGTATTATGTATTTTTATACTTTAATATATGTCTTTGTACTTTATTACATATTTTTATACTTTAACGTATATACACACACTATATATTATGTATTTTACAGGGTATTATACTGTAATTCTTTACCATGATGCATTTCCAAAATATTTTGGCAGAAGGAGATCGTGGGGCAATAAAAAATCTGTTGGGTTTTTTTTTCATACAGATTCTATGCAGCTGAGATCTCCATTGGGTTATTCTTTCTCCATAACAGAGGGATCATTTATAGGTGAGTATAACCTGACAGAAGCAATTTCTGAACTAATTTAAAATCCCCAAAGGATCAGTTTCTTTAAGGTTTCAGTTCCTTTTTAACCCAAAGCCATTGCTTTACCTGAGCATCAAACATGATCTTGTGCCTTCCTGGGTGATGTTTGGTAGTTGTACATGGTCAGATGTCTCAGTGTGAGTGTGCTCATGGTCATAAAGATCCATCTCTTTGTTAATTGTCCAGTTTCAGGGCTTGTGGTCATTCTTAGTTGTCTACAGGGAGGTGTCCAGCTCCATCTGGACTGTACCCACTGTGCATGTACAGCCCTATCCCCTCCATCCCTGAAGAGCTACACGTAGTCCTCACCCAGACTCAGAAGCAGATAAGTTGGTCCTAAACATTAACATTAAATTACTGTGATTCTTCATAGAGATCTGAAATTAGATAATGTGATGTTGGATTCAGAAGGACACATTAAAATTGCTGATTTTGGAATGTGCAAAGAACATATGTTAGATGGAGTAACAACCAGGACCTTCTGTGGCACTCCAGACTACATTGCACCAGAGGTAAATATTTACCATTTCAAGAACCTTTTTAGTCTCTGAAATGAAAACTGTCACTGCACACATCTCACCCCACCACAGCTGGCACTCTGGGTGCTCTGTGGGTGGTGCCATTTCTACTTCAGCAGGTATATTGAGTCACTTGGTAAATGAATGCAATGTTATCAGTAACGGCTAAAAAAGCTGGATGACCTCCTTGTGATTTTAAATATGGAGCCTGGCAATATTATTTTAAACTTTGTGCTTCAATTTGTGAAGTCATAGAGAGTTCATGGGTGTTGTTGAGGTTGTTGATGAGGTGAGCAAATATATCTTCTTTAATGTATTTCTTCATAAGTTCACACAGCTGAGAAAATACGTGTCAATTTAAAGGATTGTTTGGCATGTCCAGGAAATCATAAACCACTCACTGATTTCTGGGAAAGTACTCATGAGGTCTTGAAGCTTTTCACTGGCCTCCTTGCAAAACCTCCTCTAGTCTTTTGCAGGTCATGTCATACAAGTGGTTCAGTGGTGTCATGAGTTACTGCTCTTGACCTTAGGAGAGCTCCAGTCATTGAAAGCCTGAACGAAGCTGAACAATCAGAGCTTGAATGGACCTGAGATAATAAATCCATAATTTCCATTGAGTTTTCAGTGACGTGATGATACCTGTGCTGCATTCAAGCCACTGAAAATCACATTCAAACATTAAGCTAATTGCAGTGGGTCTAAAATTAAAGTTCAGTCATGAGAAACATGGTTCTGCTTTAAAGTTCTGTGATAAATAGGAGCTCAGAGTGAAGATTTTGAGTCTGGAGATGATTTGTATTTCAACAGTTAAAGTGTAAAACGTTAAAAACAAACACGTGGTGATGTGGAAGTGATTCAAATATATGAATATTAAAATCTGGTATTTGTGCAAGCTGAGCTCTCAAGAGTCTTAATTTGTTTGGCTGCAAATTCAGTGCAAGAGGCTGATCCTGCTCCAAGACACTCCAAGTTCCAGTGAGTGCTGGGCACGAGGCAGCTCTGCTGGAACATTGCTGGCTGTAATTGAATGTTTGTTGGAATATGGGAGATTTATACATGGACAAGTAAATTAGTGTCTAAGGTGAATTTTCTCATCTCAGTGAAATTGGAATGAAAAATAATTTGGGTTTTTTCCAGTTGCTAATTCATGCTTTTCAGAGTGAAATATTGTGTATTACAGAACCTTGTTTTTTCACACATGCCTGTTCCTTGCAGCAGGATATCAGACCAACCAGAGCAGGATTTTGTTTTCCCCTGTCAAAACATAATTGAAGCCAATATTACAAATTAAATAGTGTCCTTTCTGTGGCAACAGTCTTGTGCCAGTTAATACCAAAGAACATGTTGCAGTGCCAAAATGCTCAATATGTGCCAGTGTTGGAATTATTTATTTTGCTTTATTTGGAAATTTCCTATAAAGAAAGAAACCTTTTACCCAAACATTCAGTAACTGGGAGGAAATTCTGTTATCTTACAGTCAATTTTTTTATTATTATTATGATTCTTTTTTCAAGTTAGCTGATTTCCTTTTGCTTCTGAAGATATTATTGTGACTGACAAATTGCTAAATAGATCTGTGGTAAACTTCAAAGGAAGGTTGGTGTTTTGCTTGCAGGAGCATTTCAGCATCTTGCCATGAGCTAAAATACAGGCATTTAGAACAGAATATAATGGGGATGCATCTGCACAGCAGCGTTCCCTGCTTGGGTGGAGGTGAATGAACTAAATCTAAAGAAGCTGTTGAAGGTGTCTAGAGCAGAGGAGTCCTGTGAGTTGCACTCAGATGTAGAGAATTAGCTCTTCCATCAGTGTTTGGGAAATTATGTGACCACAGTGAGGGCTGAAGGAGCTGCCTGCACATGAAGTGACCACAGACAGGGATCAGAGAGAAAGGGCTGGAAGGGCCATGCAGAGACACCTCAGCTGGCTTCACACCTGTGAGCTCCAGACAGAAAAGCAGGGGAATCTGGTGCTGCATGTTCAGCAAAGGGGACTTGCACACTTTGGTGTATCAGAAAATCCTGCATTCCTTTAGGAACGATTGGCAAGGTTAGCATTTGTTGTTACCTGGGTGGATAAGGCACAGGAATAAATATTCCTTTTTTAATCCTCTGCAATTTGAAAAATGTGCAGTGGTTAAACTGGTAGGATCCCAGGTTTTTGACCCCTTGTGTCAGGCAGAAGGTGGTTATCTAGTAAAGATTATTTCTTGATGTGCTGAACTGAAATATTTATGGTCAGTGGTAAAGCAGCTGTGAAATCGATTAGTACTTTGTAATTCCTTGACCAGTCAAGAGAGCCAGAAGGAGATGGATGTCAGGAGGATTAGTGGGAAGGGGTTCTGCCAGCACAGCCCAGTGCCTGTGGGGCAGTGCTGAGCCCCCCACCAGTCCCTCTGCAGCAGCTGGGGCACTGATTCTGCATCTCATAAGAGTTTAAATTCCCTTCTCCTCCATCAAGTAGCAAATAATTCTGAAGCTCTAACCTTGTGTTTGCCAGGACTAGGGAAGGATTATAGGTGCTACAAAGGTTGGGAAACTGTACTTTTGACTCTTTCTTGTGCCAGTAATATATAATTACTTTAATAACTGAGTTTTAACTCTTCCAGTAGGCACAGGGATTATGTCCACGAAAGACTTTCTCTTGCCTCTAGGATATAAACCTTGCATCCCAATTGGCTACTAGCTGCAAGGAGCTAAACATTCCTTCAAATAGCTGGTATTAATCTCTGTGTCCTGCTCTTAACTGTGCCTTCCTTGGATACAAAATGGAAAAAAAATGAAAAGAAGTGATCAACATTCCTCTGCCAGTTTGGCTTGATGAGAGAAATTCTCCCTGAGCTGTAAAATTCACAAAACCTGAAAAAGCAGGACTCTGAAAATATAGAATCATGGAATGTTTTGGGTTGGAGTGGAGCTTAAAGATCATCCAGTCTCACCTCCTGCATGGGCAGGGACACCTCCCACCAGCCCAGGCTGCCCCATCCAACCTGCCCTTCAACATTGCCACAGATGGGGCAGCCACAGCTTCTGTGGGCAACCTGTTCCAGTGCCTCACCACCCTCACACTAAAAAATTTCTTCCTGATGTCTGACCTAAATCTCCTCTCCTCCAGTTTTAATCCATTGCCCCTTGTCCTCTCACTACAAGCCATTGTAAACAATCCCTCCCCATCTTTCCTGTAGGCTCCATGCATTGGTAATAGATAGGTTAATAATGAGATATTTGGACTGCAAAAGGAGATTAAAAAGGCAATAATTTAAATTAATGATGCAGAAGGAAGGAAAGGGTCCCATCAACTTTCCACTCCTCCCTGGCCAGCAGAGATCACAGCTGGAGGAGGATACAGAGCTTCATTTCTAGGCTCATGCATCCCCTCCCTGCTCTGTGGATCTGCTCTGCACGCTGCAGTGAGACAGGAGCTCGTGTTAACACACCCCTAGTTGGTGTAAAAGACCCCCACATCTGCACAGGCAGATGTAGGGGTCCTGGCAGCTGCTGCCAAGGCTGGTGGGGAGCACAGCAGCCAGTGGGGAATATGTGAGGAGCTGAGGATGAGGAGGAGGGAACTACTGAGAACACGACACTGAGAACTTGCTGACTTGATCCCAGTGCACGTCTATTAACACTCATCTGCTGCCTCCCACGTGCAGTTGCTTCCCTGAAGTGAGTGTTCTTTCCTTCCATTTACAATTCCCAGTTCCTGCCTTGCACAGCTCCCCATGGCAGCAGCACCAGTTTCACTGCATGACACATGGGTTGGTGAATGAATGGGGCACGTGGCTTGTCTGTGTTTCAGCTGGATCACATCCTCACCAGGACTGAGCTGTGATCCACACGGGCTGTGTTTGATTTGGGTTGAAGGAAAAAGAAACCCTTCACTGTGCAGCAGCAGAGACTGACAGTTCCATTTTCCTGACATTGCAGTAGGGTCAATGAAGAAAGTGTTTTCATTGCATTTGCAGCCTTTCTAAATTAATGACTTTCTGAAAAATATCCCCCTTTTTTTGCTAAAATACTCTTTTCCATAAGGTAAGGAGAGAGGGGCTGAGGCTGAAATGTCTTATCATTTTCTGTAGGTAAAGGCCAGTATTTTCTCTGGATAAAATTTTGGAAGTGTTTGGGCTTTTAAGAAGCAACATTGATTCCTGAGGCCCTCTGGGAACTTACTGGTGGGAGAAATTAAAGAAAGAGCAATCAAATATGTCAACCTCTATATGAAATGAATATTTATTTTAAAGCCATATTACTACCAAAAGACAACTAATAAAAATTGCCTTTAGGCAATTCCAGCTGAGAACCTTGTTATTTCCTCTGGTTGTGTATTATACTTCGAAGTGCAATTGATTTTGAAATCCTTTGCTTAGAAACACTGCAGTAGTTTTTAATTCTTGTACTGCTGTTATCCCAGCAAAAAAAGATATATTCACATAGAGACTGTAATTCTGTCTGGTAGCCAGGCAGTCCTGCTTCACTGATCACTCTTTTCCTGAGAAAGTACAAAACTTGCAGGTTCAACTTCTTTTTCAGACAAACCTAAAAAAAAAAGATCTCAGGTATGTAATGTGTATTTGACTTAGCAGTTTGTTTCTCAAAGAATAAAAACACATGCAAAGAGCACAAGAAGTGCAAGGCCACCCCGAGCAGTGAGTGCCTCCCTGCTCTGCTTCTCCTTGTGCATGGACAGGGGCTTGGATGTTCTGCATCCCTTCCCCATGCACAATAGCCCTTCACAGTCATTTAGAAGGAGATCTGACCTCCAAACTCCTCTCTAGCCTGCCCAAATACATCTCTTAAATAAATTAAGCACTGACCACTGAAGAAGCCTCGATTAAAGAAAATGATGCACGAAGGGACCTGTTGGCACTTGCAGCCTTTTGGTTGTGGCTGAACTCAATTTGTGCTTCTATCTGAGTCAGATATGAACCCATAGGATGCAAAATACTTGACATTTCCATTAGGCTGAGCAGCAGAAACCCCTTTCTTTTTGGTGTAGCTGGTATCTAGCTTCCTGCTG